GCTCGGGGGCGGGGGCCCGAGGAATGAATCCTGGATGGAGGAGGCGGGGGATGGGGAGGGGGATAAGGAAAAAACAAGGAGGGGGAGGAGGAGGAAAAGGAGGAGGAGGAAGAGGAGGAGGAGGAGGTTGAGGAGGAGGAAGAGGAGGAGGAGGAGGAGGGGAGGAGGAGGACCAGCATACATAAACCCAAGAGTCATCAACTATGCTGGAATAACCCCCCCTCCAAGCTCCCTCTTCATGGGCCCCATACAAGGGTTCATTTCCACTGAGGGAACTGCCTCGTTGGAAGACAACCGTTTGAAGACCCTGACGCGTGCCAAAGCATTGTTTTCGGGATTCCAACGCCACGGATCAACCCGACTTTTGCGTCTTGTCGATCCTGAATCGTGCCAGAACGCCATTCCTGGGACTTCAACTCCGCGAATCAACGTAATTGTTGCGGCATCATAATCTTGAATCCTTCCAAAACGCCATTTCTTCTACGCTGATCATGGGCATCCGTGAAACTCTTGCAAAGCTCAAAAACAACAACGAACGTGCGCGGCGCTAAGGCGAGAGCCACATTTGGAGAAGAAACCGCCCACAATCCGTGAAGCTCTTGCATTGTTCAACGAATGTGCGCGGCGCTGCGGCGATAGCCACATTTTGACAAGGAACCGCCCTCAACCTGTGAAACTCTTGAGAGCCACATTTTGAAAACCACCCGCCTTCAATCCGGGAAGCCCTAGCATTAAACAAAAATGTGCGGCCCTAAGGCGAGAGCCACATTTTGAAAACGACCCGCCCCCCATAATTGTGTGAAGCTGTTGCCAATGTTGAAGCTTCAGGGTCATAAATGGTGAGGAAGTCTCAGGAGAAACGCCTGGACCGCCCTAAAAACTTGCCTCGGGGTGCGACAGGGAGAAATTATTTGTAAGGAAAAGGAATGGAGGAGGAGGAGGGGAGGAGGAGGAGGAGGAGGAGGACCAGCGTACATAAACTCAACGATGTTGGAATGACCCCCCCTCCAAGCTCCCTCTTCATGAGCCCCATACAAGGGTTCATTTCCACTGAGGGAACTGCCTCGTTGGAAGACCACCGTTTGAAGACCCTGACGCGTGCCAAAGCATTGTTTTCGGGATTCCAACGCCACGGATCAACCTGACTTTTGCGTCTTGTCGATCTTGAATCGTGCCAGAACGCCATTCCTGGGACTTCGCCGCGAATCAACGTAAGTGTTGCGGCATCATAATCTCGAATCCTTCCAAAACGCAATTTCTTCTACGCTGATCATGGGAATCCGTGACACTCCTGCAAAGCTAAAACAAAACAACAAACGTGCGCGGCGCTAAGGCGAGAGCCACATTTGGAGAAGAAACCGCATCAGAGAAACTATGGATTCAGTTTGTGTCGGGGTTTCGGTTTTCTGCTATGCCTGGCGGCCCATAGGGGCCAGACGGATCGCGAGGAGGCGCATGAGGAGGAGGAGGAGGAGGAGGAGGAAAAGGAGGAGGAGGAGGAGGAGGAGGAGGAGGGCCATCTGTGGTTGTGGCTCCTCGCGTTTCTCCGGCCTGCCTCTCTCCCCTCCCCCTCCTCCCTCCCTCCCTCTCTCCTCCTCCCCCCGCCCCTCCCCCCGAAATGGGACGAATTACAACCGACTAGTCCCAATTCCAACCGTTCGGAGCGAATTGCAACCATACATGGGACCAATTACGACCATGGGATCTTCAGAAGTACTTTTTTCTTCTTCAGAAGTATTTCTTTCTTCTTCAGAAGTACTTCTTTCTTCTTCAGAAGTGCTTCGATTCCTTAGGATTCCTTACGATTCCTTAGGATTCCTTAGGGTCCTTCGGATTCCTTAGGGTCCTTGGGATTCCTTGGGATCCTTAGGAATATTCGCGAATTCATGGGAGTCCTGAAAAATCCTTGGGGGAAGGGGGCGCTTTGGGGGCCTTCTTGAGTTCGCTTTGGGCCACTCTTAAGGCCCGCTTGGGGCCTTCTTGGAGCCCTCATGGGGCCCTTATTGACTCTTCTTGGCGCCAAAATAAGCCCTAGAAGGGCCAACTCTCGAGGGCTGCAGGAGGACCAACTTTTGAGGTCAATACTACGAAACTTACTACCACTTCGACCTACTGATACGACTTCTGCTACGACTACTACTGCTACAGCTACTACGACTTCTACTCCTACTACTACTACTACTACTACTACTACTACTACTACTACTACTACTACTACTACTACTACTACTACTACTACTACTACTACTACTACTACTCGACTACTACTACTACTACTATTACTACTACTACTACTACAAACACTACTATTCTTTCCTGCTTCTACTACTACGCCTACTGCTTTTAATCATATTACTTCTACTGAAGCGACGCCGCCTACAACTACAACAACAACAACGACTACTACTACTAGTATTGCGATTCGTGCTACCAGCACTACCACTTCTGGTACCATGGCTACTACTATACTCACTACTAGGACTCGTATTAGTACTAGTAC